CGTGATGGAATTCAAGCGTGATAGTGTGATTTCTTTATATTTTGCTGGAAAAAGACAAGTGGCTATCGTTAGAGCACTACATCATTTAAATGTGAATAAATAAAACTGGTAGCGTAGCCATACCTCAAGAAAGTGGACGGAAGAAAACAGCATCATCAGCAGAAATGGTTCGAAAAGTCGCAGTGGCTCGTGACCTGAACATATCGCAATATTGCATTCGGTAAATATTGAAAAATTAGCTCGTGGTAAAGCCATTGAAATTCCAAAAAGTGCAAGAACTTACATCGCAACGGAAAGAAAGTAGACTCAATAGAGCTAAAAAGTTGCTTCGCTTGGCCAAAAGTGATGAACTGCCGAATTTGGTTTTCTCTGATGAGAAAACATTCGTTGTCCAGCAGTTTGTAAACAAACAAAATGATCGTGTTTACTTGCCAAAGAGGTCAGCAGAAAATGTGCACCTTCGGTTGGCCACCAGAACTCAAGCGCCTGCCATGGTGATGGTATAGGCCGCCATAACAGCCGAAGATCGACGTCCGCTCGTATTAATCTATCGTGGCATGAGAATAAATACCAGATATTATCGCGAAAATATACTGGAGGGTGTATTAAAGCCTTGGGAACTCCAACAGGACTCAGCAACATCGCACTCAGCACGCGCCACCCAAGAATGGTTACAAAATGAGGTTCCTCGCTTCATTTCCGGCGCACAATGGCCACCAAAATCTCCGGATACCAATCCGTTGGACTATTGCGTCTGAAGTATTTTGGAAAGCAAGGTTGGCTTTAAAAAATACCGAAGTGTCGATCACCTCAAGCAAGCGCTTCGGCGGGAATGTGCCAAAATATCATTGGCCGTTTGAAGGCCATAATTCGTGCCAAAGGTGACCAATTCGAACAAATCTAAACTTATTTTAAGATTTGATGCTTTCTCCGACATTTTTTGCTTTCATTCAATAAAATTTAAAAGAAATGTAAAAATTGTGGCGTTTGACTTTGTTGCAGTTTTTTTATCACTTTCTGTATACCTAAAATTCAAGGATTCAAAAAATTGTAATCTGAAATGATCAAAAAAGCATTTACTTTGCAAACTTCCTAAACGCCGATATACGTTCTTCTACTTTTAGCTCTAATTTTATAATCTACTTGGGTTTAAATATTAAAAGGATTTAATATTTTTTGTGTCGCACAGTGTACTAAATATATATACGATGACTAAATATATACCTTTAAGTACTTATCTTGCCTTTTTATACCGTACACCACAAGGTGGTCCGGGTATTATGTCTTTGTGCATTTGTTTGTAACAGGCAAAAAGAAACGAGATAGACCCATAGTTCCTTTTCATGATCTGCATAGAATCACATTCTGAGTCGATTTATGCATGTCCGTCCGTCCGTCCGTCCGTCTGTCCGTCTGTCCATGTATTTTTGTAAACAAAGTACAGTTCACATTTATTGCCCTATCCAGATGATATTTTGCACAAATCATATGTTTGGCCCAAGGACAAACCCTATTGAAATTTGAGATAATCGGTCAAAATTTAGATATAGCTCCCATATATATCTTTGTCCGCTTTGCCTTTTTGTGCACCAAACATGTAATATCAGCCCGAATAGAATTTTACACATACAATCAAATTAGGCCTGAAAATAAGTATGCCAAATTTGATCGGAATCGGTTCAGATATAGCTATAGCTCCCATATATAATGTTCATCCGATTTGTTATTTTTGTCCTCCGCAGCCGTAATATGCACTCTGTAACATTAATATTTGCCAAATTTTATCGAGATCGGCTCAGATTTGGATATAGCTCCCATATATAACTTAATAATTTACCTTTTATTGTGCACCAAACGTCTAATATTTGCCCAAACATACGACCGAATTGAGTCTAGAAGCTAGTATGTCAAATTTGGTGAAGATCGGTTCAGATATAGCTATAGCTTCCATATATACTGTTCATCCGATTTGTTATATTTGTTACCCACAGCAGTAATATGCACTCCGTAACAACGGTATTCAGGGAAATATATCAAATACAGCTCAAAAATATCTTTGTCAAATTTTATCGAGATCGATTCAGATTTGGATATAGCTCCCATATATGTTTTTATCTGATTTCAAATTAATTGTGCACCAAATGGGCAATACAAGTCCGAATTTAAAAGATACAAATGCTTCGGCATATTTAGTCCTTTGAACTTTAAATTATAATTATAATCATAGCGTGTATGATTGAATTCTCCCATAAAAACTTTTAATTGTTATGTGGAGCTCTACTAAATTAGCAAAGTGGTGTAGGGTATCATAAAGTCGGCCCCGCCCGACATAGGACTTTCTTTACTGGTTTTATCTCTCCATGTATACCTAAAATTCAAGGATTCAAAAAATTTTAATCTGAAATGATCAAAAAAGCATTTAATTTGCAAACTACCGATACGCCGATATACGTGTCGTCTATTTTTAGCTTTAATTTTATAATCTACTTGGGCTTTTCTTTTAATAATTTTTGTGTCGCACAGTGTATCTATACGATGACTAAATATATACCTTTAAGTACTAATCTTACCTTTTTATTGTATGCATTGTAAATTTGTTTTAATTAATCTTATGGTAAAGAAATTATGATTTATTGAATACTCATATATTGAGTGAGAAAACGGGAGTGAGAATCACTCAAGTCAGTTAAGTATGATTGACATCATACTCAACTAGATTATTCGTGTAGATGCAATAGTAGCAGTGATCGCATTATCCTCCACTAAGTATGTTCGTAGATAACAGAACAAGTGATAATTTTTTTGCACACGCGACATGATTCAGCAAATATTTAATGCCACATAAAGACATGTATGGAGATGGGCGAGCTCATCAGTAAATTTGTTTATAAGAGAATGAATTGATTGGCTAGCATGATTCAGCAGTAAATTAATAAATACGTATGTGTGTTTGAATAGGTATATTTATTATTTTAAATGTTTATAAAGTGTGGGCTATTGTTTTGAATATTTATAAATTCTTGCTAATGTTGCTAATTTAATATGTTCTTATCACAACAATCAATCAACTTTCTTGTAACGTAAAATATGATTTTCAATATTTGTGATTTTTTTTATCGGATAAACCAATAATTATTACAAATTATTACTGGATGCTGTTAGACCATAGACAAATAATTTTTTTTTTATTAAAAAATTTATTTAATTTTAAAATATACCCCTTCCGGCAGATGTCACAATGGTTGATCTTGGGCCAGTAAAGTCACTCAGGGCCAGTGAAGTCACTCGACTTCGAAAACAATTTATTCATTTTTCTGCTATTTAAGTTCTATATTTTTATATTTCACGGCATTGTAGGGGAATGCCAATGTAAACAAAGTCACTGTTTCGTTTTCAATTGATAAATAATAATAAATCATAAAACTATTCAATTTTTTGTATTTTGAGAGAATTGAGTGAATAGCACGGCATTAACGACATCTTTTAGTCTATACCTATGGTTTTACTGATGTTATGGAGCCGCAGTGAACAATTACACTGTGCAACAAAATTTAATTTTTTCAATAATTACGGAGAAAATCCAAAATAGTTATGAAAGTAAAGCTTATTAGCTCTACACATGTATTGTCGTTTTGAAAGTTTACATCGAAAAGCAACCAAAATAGAGGGGGCAAGTCTCCCTCCTTTTATAAGACAATTGAATGTTTTCAGATTAAGATTCCTTGGAATCCCTGTGTTTTCAGTATATAGTGTCTTCGGCAATTTTGCAGATCCAAATACGAGGGATATTTAAGCAGAAAAGTAGTATAAGGGCCTTAATAACATTTGGCCTAAATACCCAGAACTCATTTGGGGGTTTGATCTAAAAACGAGTACTTTCAACTTTACTTGGTATTTTCCATAATCCAGACTGGCAAAAAGTAACTAAAACCATTAAAATACCGAATATCGGGAGGTACCGTTATATGTGGCTAGACAAAAACGTGGACCGTTTACTACCAACCATCCTAGACACAATACAAGTTCTACGTCAAATATTGAGGGTTGTATCGTGATTTGGTTTATGATGAATATTTAGAGATGTTACAAACGAAATGACACATTTGATATACACTCCTTTCCAAGGTGGAGGGTATAATTATGCATTAAATTGCATAAATCGATTATTTCAGAGTCGATTTATGCATGTCAGTCCGTCTGTCCGCCTGTCCATGTATTCTTGTGAACAAAATGTGACCTTAATTATCCGATTGAGATGAAATTTTCAAACATTACTTGTTTGGCCCAAAGACGATCCCTATTGGTGATAATCGGATCAGATTTGGATATAGCTCCAATATATATCTTCAACCGATTTCGGGTTAATTTGGCACCAAATGCCGAATATCAGTCCAAATGACCTGAATTTTGTACATCCCACCGAATTCAGTCCAGAAGCAAGTAAATCAACTTTGGAAAAATCTATTCAGATATAGCTATAGCTTCCATGTATATGTTTCATCCGATTTGGTGTTAAAGTCCCTCACATTTGTAATATTCATTCGACAACAATGATATTTGGTACCATATATCTTATAAAGCTCTTCAATCCGAATTCAGGTTTATTGTGCAAATAATGGCTAATATCTCCCCAAATGAAGTGAAGTTCGGGACGTACGTTTCCATTTTGTCCAACTCGGCTCAGTTATATATTTTTTTAATATAATCCTTCTCCAAGTGGTATCATGCACCCTATAACAAACTATAACTGCTCTAAAGCCAAATGTTGATAGATGGTATGATCTACTTGAAATAAATTATTTTGTGATGGGAGCTCTACTAAATATGCATAGTGGTGTAGGGTATCGTATAGTCGACTCGCCCGTCTTTTGACTTTTCCTTACTCGTAATTTTTATGTGAAAAGTTATCATATACACATTTTATTTAGGAAAATTTTAAAATTCCCGCCAACTCTCTCTCTCCCAAAAGTCTTTTTTGACTCCAAATAAAAAATATATACTCCATTTTCGTAAAATTTAATGGTGTGATTAATTTTCTTGTTGTTTAATTTATTTAAGGTATAATTGTACAGTTCTTAGATTTAAGAATTTCCGTATATTGCTTAGCACCTGCCCCATTGGCTTCTTCATAGTAAGGCAATGACTCGATACTCTTCAACCAAGCACTTAGTTTAGGGAACTTCACTTCATCGATTTCAGAAAAAATCAGCAATGAGCTTACAGTTGATACAATACTAAAGTCGGCAATAGTTAAATGATCTCCGGCCATGTATTTGTTATCCTTAAGGAATGACTCGAGAAATTCATAACCCTCCACAATAACATCAATTCGATGTTGTGGTATCTGTGTTTGATTTCTCAACCAAATTGGAAGTGTAATGCTGCGTAGGCCGTCTTGGTATAAGACACCAGCATCGAAATACATACGCTGATCAACAACAGCTCGTTTAAGTAGATCCTTTGGATACAGCGAGTCATCCTTGCCATATTTACTAACTAAATACGCCATAATGGCATGAGAATCCCAAATGAAATGACCATCGTCTTCCAGTGTAGGCACTGTGTGTTGGGGGTTCTTTTTTAAGAAATCCTCCGATAAATGCTCTCTGGTCATTAAATTGACAACTTTGTATTCGTAGGTTAAATTCAGGGCTTTCAATGTGAGTAAACAAGCCCGCACTGGTGGGCTTATATCCATTCCGTATAAAATAAGTTTTCCCATTGTGACAGTAATTTGAACAGATTAAACGTTTTGTGCGTTGGCTGTTGTGATCGCTTTGAGATACCGAGTACAACTAAATAAAATACATGAGCCTCCTCTATTTTAATAATAGTTTGCTATCTGCAGAATTAACTGTGGCTAATTTAGCGTTTTTAATGCTACAGCAGGGTTGGTGTTTGTGAACCATCACAAGTTTGATTATTCACAACGGGACCATCATTCAAAGTGATTTTTGTTGTTTCTGATTTTCCTTGCACAGTGTGATTGAAATAAAGGAGATCTGCAATTTTATTATGGTAGTAGTATTACTCTCCAAATGATGGAAGGCATTAACAGTTCAATCCTCCTGCCCTTTACTTGTTCTATTTTCATAGATTATATCTCGATTATTATATTTTATGAATTTTTTTTATATTTTGTCATTCAATTTTACCATAAATTTCAGATATGAGTCTCTCTCTCTAAAATCCTAATATTTACGTCAGTAAGGTGCGAATATGGACAATATCGGTCCACTCCATGAAGTACCTCCCACACAAAGGGTCAACATTTTGAATAATTGTAACTCATATGATATTCCTATCAACACAATGTCTGTTATAAAGATGGTTGCGATCGCACAATTTCTTCTGGTACCACCTCCACAAAGGGTCAAAGTTTTGAATAACCAAAACGAATATAAAAATCCGAAATAAGCATCCTGTTCTCTTCATATTTCACACATGCCATTATTTATACTAACACAAGATCTGCTAGGTAGATGGGATTATCGATCCACTCCTTCTGGTACATCCGCCACAAAGGATCAACATTTTGAATATTCATGAAGTTCATAAAACACGAAATTAACATCCGATGCCATCCAGAATTGGCACATCTCAATATTTTGATTAACACAAGATCTGTTATAAAGATGGTAGAGATTGGACCATATCTTCTGCTACCTGTCCCATATAAACAAAACGCTCAAAGAAAGCGAAATAAGAATTCAACCCTCTTCAAGTTTCACATATACAAACATTTTTGCTAACACAAATGATATATACCTGCGTACCCCTGTTACTTCACCCACAAAGAGTCACAATTTTAAATACTTTACAACTTGCTATACCTAAATATATATCTCTCAACCAGAAACATGAGATGAATTTGGAATTTATAAATATGGAATTTATGATTGAAATGAACAATATAAATGTTTGATTTTCTTGTAATTTTGCCTATACCAATATTTTTAGCTGCATCAGATGAAGTATGAGGGTCGACTATATATGGTACCTCACGCACATTTTAACATTTTCTACAAATTATCACATATCTCATATAAAGCCAATGAATCAACCTATATAATCCAATGCTGGCACGTCGCAATCATATTTATTTAGGTCCGATACGAAATGAACAATATTGGCCCATTCCTTCGAAACCCACTCCATAGAGGGTCAACAAATTAAATAATCATAGCAGAAGTCTAAATATAGCGCCCTTTAACCTAACCTAGTGCCTATATAAAAACAGGAACATCGGTGTTTATAGCATTGCTTATATTGAGTATTGAAAAAATGTGAAACTCGTCTGTTTAATTGTGAAATTTGGTCTATCCGTATTATACTTATCTTATAAAGTGTATTTTGTACTTTACAAGATTACCCAAAAAATTATATTTTGTTCGAGTAAGAAATGTGATTTAGCAAAATCTAATATTTATTTCCACAAGTATTAATGTAGATAGATTATTTCCTCCTTACTACATTGTCGACTTTGAAATCGAGTGGATTTCATTTTAGGTCTATGGAAGTGACAGTTGAAAATAACTAGATCTGTTATTTGTGTTCTGCATTTAAGTCTATAAGTCTATAATTTGGGTCTACAAACTGGTTTTCGCTAATTGGAAAGTAAACAAGTAAAAAAACATTTAATACCCTCCACCTTAGGGTAAAGGAAGTTTAGAACCCATTATGACCCACAAATACCAATTTTTAGACAAATCCGTGAAAAAATGTGGCAAAAATCATCAAATCCTAGACATAATACAAATTGCTCTGCTATTGACGCTCTACGTCAAATAATGTGGGCTGTATCGCAATTTCAACAGACAGACATCGTTAGATCGACTTAGAATTGTATGCTGGTTGTGAATATATATCATTTATGGGGTCTACGACGAATATTTAGGGATATTACAAACGAGATGGAGGGTATAAAAAAGCGTATGAAAGTACCAAATTGTTCTGAATATGATGTAACATAAAGGTGTTCGGAAAGAGATTTTGGAAATTCGTATTAAAAGTACAAAAACAAAAAAAAAACTAAAAATTAAATCTTTAGTATTAAGTGATCGTCAAATGCATAGAGCTCTAATTTTTTGTATGGAACTTTGTCTGCGATAAATAAGATGATAAAAACAGAACTTTTCATACCAAAAGTGTCCGAGAAGTATCAGACATTTATTGGGTTTCCGTACTTTTTTGTAATAACATACTAGTTTTGTTGGTGTTTTTTCGACCTGGCGTTTGAGATCTTTCCTCATGATTGCTGCTTCTGCAAAAAATATAACCTGCGATCAAGACTTTTATTTTGTCGGTTTGCTTTAGAGTTTCTTGGCTTTAGACTTTTCTTTTGTAGGCTTGGTTTAGAGTTTCTTATACTTACATTATGAACAGAATTTATCAATTGCCTCCAAACAAGTAAAATTATTTTATTTTCATCATACTTATTTTTTATTAAACTCGAACATTATTTTTATTTCTTTTTCATTTTATGTTTATGCAAATGAATTGCTTTTTTTCTATATGAAATTATATGTTTTATTTGCTTCCGATTTAATCCATAATATGAACATAACTCATAACTCGTTTTCATTCCAATTTAGAATTTATAGACAGACTTTTCTTATTTTTAGTGGATAGAAAACAGTTTAAAACATTGGAATAAAAAAAATCAAAATGTACATATGTGTTGGGACATTATTTGCATTGTAAACTGAAATGAATACTATTTGTATTAAATTGATGACATTTTATTCCAGCTATGTAATATTATCAGTTTTATTTCATATAACATTTAAGTTTTAGAATGATCACATAAAAAAGTATGAAACAATTATAGATTTTAATTTAAATTGCCGTTTTTTTCTCGCTTAAAGCTGGATTGATGAGCAAATCAAAATGTGTAAAAGAAAACTGGAGCTGCCCTATAGCTTTTGAATCAATACTGACTTGAATGTTTTGTAATCGATTTTGAACACAATGTAAAATTCTCTTGCGAAAAAAGAAACATAAGCAATGTTTTAAATATGTTGCAGAAGGAAAATATATAATTTAAAAATTTAGAATCTTATAACTAAAATATATAGATATAATGTACATACAACTTATGATATTCTAATGTAAAATATAGAAACATTTTTTCATATAATTTTTTACACAATATTGAAGGGAAATGCGATATTAGGCCAATAAGTAAAAATACAAATATACGGTATAAAATAAAAACGTTTTTAACAAAAAAAAAAAAAATTAAATACAAAATTTGAAAAAAAAAAAAATAAAAACAAAATTATTTATAATCAAAGACAACGGTAAAATGTTTACGGAAACCCCAAAGATACGAAAGAATATATTGTAAAACAGGCTCTTTGAGAAAATTCTGCTTTACTTTTTCCTTGTGAATAGCTTCCTGATTACAGTGTAAAAATCACAGAGATTCTATTAACTTTGACAAAGGAATAATTTTAAAATGAGCGAACATTTTGAATTTGGAATATTGTGTTTGCTGTATGACAATCACTTTGATAATATATTTCTCAATAATAGAAATATATTCTCATCGCACTTTTTACCATGCACTGTAATATTTTTCTTGGTTGCCCATTGACTGGCTTAAAAAAAATATCATATCTTTTATACCACTATGCGATGTAGTAAGATATAACATGTATGCCAATGGTATGAATATTAAATTTCTGTGGTAAAAAGAATAGGCAAGTATAGAAAAATCGGTAAAAATGTTGCAACGTTGGCTTGAATGTATTCACAACTCGATTTTAAGCTTTGTTTTCCAATCTTTGCAACAACAGGACTTTTTGTTTTGCTTACTTTCTTCATAAGAACTAGTAGTCGACTCCTTTCCCAAAAGAGTTCCTGTAAGTTGAAGCAAATCAAAATTATTGTTTTCTTTTTTTCGAGCATAACTAATAAAAATATTCCCATTCTTCCTATGTATATAATTTAGGTAGCATATACTTCATGTATGTGTATGTGACAGTGTAAAAAACCAAGTGTATGTAAACTTATGCCATATATATAAAAGTGTTGATATCATCATCATCACGCCGCATATATTTATGTTCGATAAGCCATTCCAATTGCTCTTTAATCATTTTCTTCGAGGGTAAAAACATATTTTTTAAAATATCAATTAATTCGGCCTGTAAATAAAAAAGAGAGTCGATATTAGTCCAGGCAAATGTAAAAAGGGAAATCATAAGTCATTTTATTTTGAAATTTCGCCTCTTCATTTTTGTTATCCATACCTGTAGTGTGGCATTATTCATACGTTTACGCATTTTCATAATTTTTATGATTGCCTCCTGTACACGTAAAATACGCAATTGAACAATTGATTGATTGTCTTCTTGTATCGAACGTTCAGTACTCAATTGCAAACGGCCAATTAAATTCAACTAGAAAAGGAAATAAACCAATTACAGCAATATGCATTTATATAACATTGTATGATTTACCTTGCCCCTACGTTGGGATTTGCCATTCTTAACAACAGCAAATTCTTGATTAACATAAAACAAGGTATTCTCTGTGAAATCCTTAGGTGATGGGCAATTGGGTTCCATTAACAAAATTTGCTTTTTCAATTTGGGAAATGCGACCAAGGACCATAGTGTACGCCTTAGCTCGGGATCTGTGCAAAAATCCGGAGATTAAGACATTAGTTGTAATTTCAGAAAATTCAATTTTCTCATACCTGGCAATTCAGTGGCTAATCTTAAATTTTCATATGAAATTTTATCGTGTTGTCTTTGATTCCAAGCAAAGAGTACGGCCATTTGGAAAGTTGTCACATCTAGATCATAACGACCAAAATTGTTGACAAATGTTATTGTGCCATTGCTCATGTGATGATACCATTGCAATTTGCGGCCGGAATGTTTTTTCTTATAGAATTCTTCAACATCGGGAATATAGTCTTCCAGTTCGAGGGGTAAACTAACTGAAACACGCTCTGAGCAACGTGCCCAAGCACCAGCATTTAAAATCTTTATATTAATGGCATCATGACGGCCAGTGGAATTTCGAAATTGTGTATTTAAGTCTTCACTAACCTGCAATGGGAACAAGGAGATTCAGTCTAAAATACCGTTCAGATAGAACATTTTTACAAACTTACTTTAATGTCTTGGAACATACGTGCCAAACGATTCACATAGTCAGCGGGCATACCAACTTCACGCAACCATTCAACAATGTCTTCTTCCTTTTCACTATCAGCACTAGTACCCAATATGAGTCTAAAAAAAGAAATTAATTAATTGTTTACAAAATTACACAATTATATGGTCTTAATTCCAATGCAAAATTTGATCTAAAATAACTTTTTTAAGTATTTGAGAATGAAAATAATATTACTCTGTATCATATTTTCTTAAAAAAATGGAAAAATACAATTATGACGCTATTCTTGTAGTTCCTTGTAGACATACTCAATTCTTAGCAGATAGCTCAATTGAACGGCTTAAGGCTGTTTTTTGTAATTGTACATACACATATAAGTAAGCAGCACTGATAAGCAATCAGAATAAAATAAAGAATGGAATATGCCTTAATCGATAATAATAAAAAAACATGAGGAAAAAATCGTATTCCCTTTTGAAAGGCCCACTCTTCATTAGCCGAAATTCACAAGTGCTCCAACGTTTTTTTTTGTATTCTAAATTTTTATAATTCAACAACAGCGTTGAACTTTCACTCACCTTCTTGTTAGATGAACCTTATGATAACGCATGAATACATCCTTATTGTTAACATATTTCAATACCAATAAAACATCCCTGAGACGTGCATCAATTTGTTCGCTAGTCAAGCGTTTGCTTAACGGTGTCCGACGCAACAACATGTCACAGTAGTTGGCCAACAATTCAGGACATTTACTTTCCGGTGCCGTATATTTAACTCCACGATTTTGTATACCAGTTGGCAATTCCAATTTAAAGACACTCGTATCATTGACCACCGTCTTAAATGCCTTATCGCGGGCAGTTAGGAAACGTGGGTCATCGTTGAAGGCATTCTTAACGAGAGCACTGAATTTCTTAAACAATTCCAACAGACGTTCAACATATTTCTCAGAGTCTTGAGTAATAATTTCCGATGCCGATAGCATATCGGCAAGACCGGCAGAAACAATATGATTCTCCAAATCACGTAGCATAGGATCAACACCATTGGGAACACGATCCAGTAGACGGAACATTAAGTTCAAACGATCTGTTTCATATTCCTTAATGAGGGGCGCACATTCTGCAATAATCGTATTCATGTGATCGCCGACGAGAACTTTAACACAGGTCTGTGCCAAAACCGCATAACTACTAGGTTCCAAGTACCGCTTAGCTCGAGCTTCTTCTTCACGCAATTTTGCATCGGCATATTTCATAAAGGCCAAAACACCGTTAGCTTGTTGTTGTTCAGTGGCTTTTAAGCGATAGAAGGCAGTTGTTGCTTTTAAATAAGCAGCTTCAAAGTTTTCTCTATAGATTTGCAATTTATCTTCTGGATTGGAACACAGATTAACATAGCTTTCTCTAACACCAATTACCAGTTGGGCATCGTAGGCATCGCCATTGCGTTCGGCATGCACTATTTTCATTGCCGATTCTTGCAGGCGATCCTTGATATCCTTAAATATGTGTTCATTCCAAGAATCTAGCATTAGTTTGCGCACAATGCTGTCTTCGGTGGGATTCTTTTTGGAGCCTGACGATGATGAAGACGCTGTTGCAGAGGAAGTGCCGGCAGCAGCAGCTGCTGCCGAAGTCGATGCAGCAGACGTTGAGGAACTTGAGGCGGAAGTTGAAGCAGAACAACCGGACGACGAAGATGATGTTTTGGATTGAAACACATGTTCCAACTGGCGAAATGGTAGAGGCAGGTAACTGGATTGAGTAAAGAATTTGCGCCATTCAATGATATAGGTTGTGAGCAGAGCATGTTCACCCCTCTGAGACTGGACCTTAAGCTGGGCATGGGCTATAAATTCCACAACATCGTTACGTAGGCAATCGTAAATTTTTGCAGCACCTTTCTCATCCCACAAGCAAACCAAATGGACTCCATAAAACAAATCTTGCCATTCAACTTGTGAAACGGTTTCCTGTTTTAGCAGTTTGAGAACAATTATTCGCATATCTGGCCATACTTCCTCAAAGGAACGCTGTCCTTTACCCTAGACGCCGCAGCCGCACACACAAACACACCAGCACATCACACAAAGCGAACGACGGCATTATGAAAAAGAACAGCAAAAAATTAGCACATAATACAACAGCTAGAATGCAATCGATGCATTACCTTTAACATTTTATTCTTGAAGTTTTTTTAATCTACAATAACGTAATGCATTTATTTCGCTGTTTTCCTGGAGCTAATTAGCCTTCTTCCTTTCTCTGGCTTTTCGGCGATCATTAACATCAAAGCTTCGGCAAAATAAAAACAATCTATTTTTTGCAATCTTTGTTGCTCAATTGCAAACAAATTCCATTAACCTGAACTCTACTCTGCTTCTCGCCGATTTGTTGTTGGTGTTGTTGTTATTTATTTGGAGAAGCAATTAACATTGCCAGACCATAAATATAAATTCAATTAAATTCTGACAATTTGTGTTTACAAAAAATAAGTCACTCTTCACAAACTAGGGATAGGTAAGTCGACTTCCGATTAATTGAATAATCGACTTCGAGTACTCAAAGTTCTGAAACTAGAACTCGACTATGAACTTGGGTGAAAACCGAGTACTCGACTATTCATAGTCGATTTCGAATTCCTGTTCAACTTATGGCCTGTTCCAGAACTGCAAGAATGTAAAAGTTTTTACTATGATAACCAATTTTCCCTTTATGATATCGAAAAAAAATTTAAAAATAGGAGATTCTTGCAGGTTCTGTAACAGCCCTTTAATATGAAATTAGTTGGTTGTTACTGTGTTATATAAAGGCCAAAAAGGAATACTTGATAAAAAAAATAAACAGAAAGCTAAATCCCCGAGGGACCTCTGTTGTTTACGAATGAGACGAATGAGTGTAATGCATAACCCGAGGGACATCTTTTGTTTACGAATGAGACATAAGGAAAACTGAACATATTCACTAAAAGAGCGCGGAATTACCTATTGTAGTTTTTGAACAAACAAGTAAAAAAGCAGTAAATTCGGCCGGGCCAAATTTGGAATATCCTCCACCATTTGGAACGAATTAGAACATTTTCAAAAAATAAAATCCATTAAAAATTCTGTGAAAATCTTAAAAATACCGGATATCGGAAGATGCCAATATATTGGGGGATATACGATATTGTGGAAATATAAATGTATACAAATCTATGCCTGGGGTAAAGTACTTACAAAGAACTCCTTGTGTTGAATTTTATACAATTCCATTGAAAAATGTGGCTAAAATCATCAAAATACCGAATATCGGGTTTACCGTTATATGGGGGCTATACGATATCGTGGACCTGTATAGACAATTCTTTTTGAGGGGGTAAAGTGCTCACAAAGAACGCCTGTGATTTACCTTCCACAATGTTGCAATATGAGAAAAATATTTTATATACAGTTTAAAATGATCAAGATGTTCGCTACGGCCACAAAGAGGTTTAAAATTCAGCTAATCAAGCTTATAAATCTATACTATAAAAATTTAGGCAGTAACAACTTGAAAGTTCTTAAATTTTTATTAGGTTATTGCTTGGATGTGTATATTTTACAATACATTCAATAACAGAAGAGAATAAACTGTTTTTTCCAATTTATTGTCTATATTTCTTTTTTCCAAAAATCATGAAATAAAGCAAATTAATATCCGATTTCCGTCAAATATTTTTTTTTAATTTTCTGAATCACCCTATTTTTATTTAGTCCAGTGTCAACTAAACACATCCGTTTTAAGCTACTCACACTGATGTAAGTTCCCTGTCATATGTGCTTCTTCTTAAATTAAGCTAATTCACCTTGAACTGATACCTGTTTTTTGTATGGTTTTTATTTCTGTGTGAAAATATTTTTTTTCCTTTGGTAGTTCTTCCGTGTTCGAAAACAATTCAATTTCCCTTCAGATTTTGTTCAAACATTCTATGCAAATACCAAATAAATCATATTTAAACCATAACACCAATATCAGCAGCAGCAATATGGGTGAAATGCCAACACCAGCTCTTGTTTTGCCCGTAATATTGAGACCTATATTGGCACAGGTGAGTTGGAATGAAAGTGCAGTCAAGTAAAAATTCAACAACAGTGCCAACAGTAGGGTTTCATATTCAATTGATCTAATTTGCATAATATAATATTTATGTGTTTGTTTTTGTTTTCATTTGCATTGCAGTTGGAACGGCGTGATGTGGGAGCTGCCCAGTCACTACGCTCATCAATTCTAAAAACAGAACAAAATAATCCAGGATTTTGTTATGATTTTATTATGGCCATTGTCCGAAGGGCAGAACTGAATGTAAATCTGAATGAATGTGTACTGAGATTACAGGGAAATCTACCAGAAACCGATTGTAAGAAATGTGATTGGATGGCTCACCTGAAAACAATGTCTCTAATGTTGTACGTTTTTTTATTGCAGTAAATGAATATCGTTTAACACGCACTGAAGAACCATTCCAGGAATTAAATCGCAAATCAGTGGCACTTAAAGTGATCTTAAGCCGTATCCCAGATGAAATCCAAGACAGAAAAACATTTTTGGAAACTATAAAGTAAGTTGTGGTTGACTGTCTAGTGGGTAGGACTCCTCAAAGTTGGTATGGTTGTAACGGAAGATAGTTCAACAGACTATTTTGAGAGGAGTGTCACAATAAAGCATGTTCTTTTCTCCCATAATGGGGATAATTTTTGGTTCCTAGAAGAACTGCTTTAAAAAGTCATGTGTCATTTTAAATCAATTTTTTTCTTTGAAATCAAGTCTACAATGTAGTACAAATTGTTTTAGATTGTTTGTTTCATTGACTGAAATGGCGATTATCAAAATGGTTCTTACGAAAAGGTTCTTAGAGAAAGATGCCATAATAGAAAACCAGTTGCTTTAATTGAGCTCTTCGTTATTAGAATGGAAAAGTAGCCTTGGTTTGTCAGTCAGTAGGGTTGTATGTAAAACTAATGTGGGGTAAATTCCATTTTATGTTAGGCATAACAAAGCTATATATTTTGGGAAATATTCAAGTTCCCTAAATAATTTCTTTTACAAAAAGTTTTTCTGATTCTCTAGGAAGAAGGTCCTTAAACGCCTTTCTTTAAATTTGAAAGAAAGCAGAATTACTTTTAGAAAACATCAATTTTTTACTTTTTATGGGGCACAAAATAATCAACAGAAGTTCTCCACATAGTGCAAGTTATATTATTGTTCTTTTTTTGAACCATGAATTCAGCATATTAAATTAACTAGATTAACTCCAGCTTATGTCAAGCATAGAGTGAACATACCTAAAAACGAATGATAACTTTATTTATTGTTTTATTCTAAATAATTTTGTTTCCGCTTATTTTCAGAGAAATTGCCAGCGCCATCAAAAAACTACTGGATGTTGTCAATGAAATTGGAAATTTTATACCCGGTGTGACTGGCAAACAAGCTGTCGAACAGCGTAAAAAGGAATTTGTGAAATATTCGAAAAAGTTCAGTACAACACTAAAAGAATATTTCAAAGAAGGACAGTAAGTATTCCGTATACACATATTTTTGTTTTCATAATATGAATTGAATTTGCCTAGACGGTATAATCTTATCACATGTATGGGTGAATTCAGGAAATGCTAGAGATAAGCGCATGCATAGCATATAGATAAAATACTTGCTGTTCGCAGAACACATTTAATTGATTTCTAATTAGATTTTGTTGTGGGGTATGTTCTAACGTTACGAGGCACCAGTTGCAAGAGAAATATTTGAAAGGCAATTTGTGCGAAATTGCAATGCATTTTTTTAAGGAAGTATCGGTGGTATAATTTTTTATGGGTATTTATGAAGACTTATTTTTAATAACTTTGATTGTTACTTTTAGGTTTCTTTGGCAAACAATTTCAATAACCGGCAGATTGTTAAGATTTTTCTTGGTTTTCTGGATTATTTATTAAGGAATGCAGAAGTAGTTAGAAAGCACGAATTCGATAGGAATATTGTCAGAACGGACCATTAGAGAAAAGGCAAAACCTTAAGGACCCAAAGTGCTGTAACAATAAGTTTACGGATGTATTTTTGAGGCATAGTTTTAATGCACTGTCATTTTGTTATAGAGAAGAGAGAAAAATGTATGGATACGCGAAGAAGATAATGACAAAGCGATTGGTTATATAGTTTTACTAGCCTGCTGTAGCAGTCACACTTTTTAGACCGACTGTTTAAGAGAGAGCTAACGTTTATTCGACAATTAAAAGATATCGTTGATCTATCAATTCCGTTGTAGAACTTTCAAAACACTAAAATTCGGAGGCTACCAAAATAATTGAAGTTGTCGAATTCGAAAAAAGGCAAAAACCAGGGCGGGACATACTATATGATACCCAACTCCACTATGCATATTTAGTAGAGCTACCCGTAGCAAATAAACGTTTTTATTGGAAATGAAATGAAGAGGAATTTCTGAGCTATATCTTATATCATTGTTGTAGGGAGCATATTATGAAAGAGATGAATTTAAATACCAAATCGGATAAAACATACATATGGGAGCTATAGCAATATCCTAACTGATTTTTACCAAATTTGAGGAACTTGCTTCTGGTCTGAATTTCTATTTGAACGAATATTAAACATATGGCGCACAATAAAATTAAATACGGACGAAATATATATGGGGTCTATATCTTAATTTGGACCAATTCTCATCAATTATTATATGATTCGTCGGACAAAAAATGTCACCTGTAGTGGAATTCTGTAATTCATTTTCTGAGTTACCAAAAAAAATTTGGTAAAATTCAAATGTTTATAATTTCGGTAGTTAATGAAATTTTTTCGGTAGGTTAGCGACGAAATGAAAGTAGTCGCTAAGACCTACTCATATATACCAATGTTGTTAAATTTCATTTTTTTTCAAAATTTTGCGTTTGAAATTTACCGATATTTGTCGGTGACTCAAAAAACTGCAGCTAATTTATTGGGACGGTTCCTTTATCTTGGAACGGTATAAAAATGTCCACCTACATTGATTATGTTTTGCGAGAAGTTAAACTATTGTGGATATAAGCTAATTGCCTGTAAACAATCCATAGCTATATATTTTGTAGTGCGAGCGAGAGGGACAGATAGACACGCGGGCGTGGCTAAATGGACATTAAATTTTACGTTCATTAAGTATATACAGGGTGACATAAAAAAAACTGCAACAAAGTCAACAGTCATAATTTTTACACTTGGTTTTTTTTTTTAAATTTTATTGAATGAAAGCAAAAAATGTCGGAAATAGCATGAAACTTTAGAATAAGCTTAGATTTGTTCGAATTGGACACCTTTGGCACGAATTATGACCTTCAAACGGTCAATGAAACCGTCACACGCCCGAATGTTGCTCTGCGGTATTTTGGCCTATTCCCGGCGAAGCGCTTGCTTGTGGTGATCGACACTTTGGTATTTTGTAGTACCAACCTTGCTTTCCAAAATACTCTAGACATAATAGTCCAACGGATTGATATCCGTTAATTGCGATGGTACTTAATCCTGTTGGAATGTTCAAGGTCTGCGGCCAAATTGTTTTCGTGCCGTCTACTTCCTTGACGTCGGGCTACGCTAACAGTATCACGGTAACGAGACACAAAATAAAACATTTAAATGCTGGAGTTCTCTAACGATAGCTTCTTGTGGTTTTCTAGCCAAATATAAAGAAATCACACTATCACGCTTGAATTCCATAACGAATACCCTTTTTTCTGGAGAATTCCCACCAAAATGCTTTTGTACGCTTCTAAACAATATAATAAGATGTCACTGGAATAATTTTACCAGCTGTCGGACGAGTGGCTTAGAAATGGCAGCAGTCTAAAGTTGGTTGCAGTTTTTTTTATTTCACCCTGTATATACACTTTATTGGTTATGCGATGGATATTTTAAGAAGGTGCAAAGGGAATGACAAATTTAATATATCCTTCGTTTTAAGGTGTAGAATATAAAAATTCAATTTAATCTTAATAACGTTCAAATATAATAATATTTTCCTTCCATTTACTTTCAGGCCCAATGCAGTATTCATAAGTGCCCTGTATTTAATACGACAAACAAATCAAATAATGCTAACGGTTAAAAGTAAATGCGAGTAGAACAATTTTGTGCTAAAACTAGTGGCATTTTTTATATAATTATTAATTTTTTTATTATTACAAATTAACTATTTTATTATTGAAACAAGAAGTATAATTGTATTATGAGATCGAACTTATTTTCCAAACTAACACACACACACACACCAACATACTTTTCCTAAAACCAAAAACGAAAAATTAAAAAAAAAAAACAAAAACAATAGAAGACAGAATGGACTTAGTTTAAATTGAAATTTAATTTTGAGAAGCAGCTGCGGCGGCAAAATAAAATACATGTTTTCAAAATCAGTGAATTGTTAATTTCTGTCAAAGGCAAAACGAGAAGAACATAAATACACATATAGAAAAAAAAAATGTTAGTTTTGCAGTAAGCCAACAAACAAATAAAAAACAAACAAAATATTTATTATTTATATAACAAACAGTTTACGAAACGTCTTTAAATCCTTGTGTTTACTCAAATTGTTTATTATGTAGTTTTAGGCATATTTTTGAAACATAAACCGTGAACATTTTTAAAATAGCAATAATAAAAATAAAAAAAAAAACAAAATATCCAAATCACAAACAACATCTTATACAAATGTAAATATGAATTATTTCGTTTTTCCCAATATTATTTGTTGTTGTTTGAAACTTTTTTCTTCATCCTTTTTGTTAAAAAAGAATACAATTCCAATTCAAAATTAATTAGACTTTCCCCTGTTTAAATCTAAGCCATCATTGGTTAAGACAAAAAAAAAAATGAAACCATAAGAATGAATACAAAACTGTATTAAAACTAAAAAAACAAACTAATTATTAACTCAATTATTCTTATTATATACATTTACATGTAGAAATATATAACTGAAATATGTATTTCATTATTTTGTTTTATTTTTTTTATGTTAAACAAAAACTAAAAGAAAAGTACATAACAAAATTGATAAAGACAAATAAATATCTATTTATAATCAAATGAGTGTGAAGTTTTCTTTTGAATGCTGGGGACAAAGGGCAATTCAATATATATTTAAGGTTTGAATTTGGGAAATCTGCATATAAAGACGATTACGGCAAGAAGCCTCGATCTAAGAAAAAATACGGGTTGCCAAGTCACATCATTTATCAAACCGGGTGACACTATGGTAAAATTAGGGGAATTGTGACACTCTCCTCTTTTTCGGGTGGGATCATCCTCGCTGAAAGTGTAGAATGTGGAGCAATAAATCTGCTCTTTCAATCCTGATTCTCTCTGCTGGGCATTTAAATACCCTTATGCCAGGCGGTTATTGCCATCCAAAAGCGGGCTAGTGCCTGCCAAAAAAAGCTGTTAACAGCTGGCAGGATATACATGTTAGACACCTGACTGAAGCTCGTTTGAAAAACCACAGCAAAATTATAAAATCACGATTTTGGCCTCAATAGGCCTCAAAGGAGTACTTGCAATGTTTCAACGGTTCTGGATATTGCAGAGGACGCTATTAACAAAACCTCGATTTATACTCCGTAGTGTGCAATATAAAACACACAAATAATTACAGAGAAAATCCAAAAGATTTTGGTCAATGCGACACCGACGCGGTCTTTACAAATTCTACGGTAGGTCCCAGAAGACATTAAATGGGTTAAAGCCGTATTTTATGTGGGTTTGTGCAAAATACTCCTACGAAGCATTATTTAAGAAGTATATTTAAAGAAGTATATTTAAATATTTTCGAATTTTTAGACCCCAGGTCTCTTTGAACCAAATCCGTTTCAGGACATTTGGAGTCGATCTAGCGATGCCCGTTCGTCTGTCTGTCTGGCTGGTGCGCGCGGTAACTCTCGAAGGGAGTATCCGATTTGGTCCAAACTTGGAACATCGTAATATTTTTTTTGTCAAACTTAGAACGAGTTCAGAGATGGGCAATATCGGTCCACTACTTCTGGTAACTCCCCCGCAAAAGGTCGAATTTTTCTAAAAATATAATCCGATAGTCCGATTTTGCTCCAACTTTGCAAATCCTAATATTCGCGTCAGTGCTAAGCCAGGTGCGAAAATGGACAATATCGGCCCACACCATCAAGAACCTCCCCCACAAATCTTATGTGAAATGTTCTTATGAAATGTGACGTATGAGTTCGATTGTCCTCAAATTTCACACATCCCAAAATTTTTATCAACCCAAGGTCTGGGGTTAAGATGGAATATATCAGTCCTCTCCTTCTGGTACCTTCCCCACAAAAGGTCTAAATTTTCAAAAAAATATTTTTTTGCACAGAAAGAGAATCGATGATCCGATTTTGCAAATCCTAATATTTGCGTCAGTGCTACTTCGGGTGCGAAAATTGACAATATCGGTCTATTCCAACAAGTGCCTCCCCCTAAAGGGTCAAAATTTGAAATAATTACAGCTCTAATAAAATGTGATGTAAGATTGTCTTCATATTTTACACATCACAATAATTTTATTAACCCAAGGTCTGTAGCCAAGATGGAATACATCGGTCCACTCCTTCTAATACCTCCACCACAAATGCTCAAAATTTTCAAAAAAAAATATTTTCCAACTTTGCAAATCTTAATACTTGCGTCAGTGCTACGTCGGGTGAGAAAATGGACCATGTCGGTCCACTCCATTAAGTACCTCCCCCACAAAGGGTCAAAATGTTGACTAATTATAAATCTTACAAAATGTGATGCAAGAGTCCGACAGTCGTCACATTATACACATCACAATATTTTTATTAACCCAAGGTCTGGTGTGAAGATGAATATATCGGTCCAGTCCTTTTGGTACCTCCCCCACAACCGGTCAAAACTTGAATAACCAAAACGATTATAAAATTCGAAATAACCATCCGGTTCTCTCCATATTTCACACATCTCATTATTTCTACTAACACAAGATCTGCTGTGAAGATGGGATATATTGTTCCACTCTTTCTGGTACCTCACCACAAAATAATCAAAATTTTGAATGAAGCTCTATGCTTCATAAAGCTCATAAAACGAGAATTTAACATCCGATTCCATTCAGACATCTTGACACATCTCAATATTTCTATCAACACAAGATCTGTTATAAAGATGGTAGAGATCGGACCATTCCTTCTGGTACCTCCCCCACAAAGGGCCAATATTTTGAATAAAATATTTCTTTCAACCAGAAACCTGAGATGAATATGGATTTCTCGATTTGGCATAAAATTGGATATAAATATTCGATTTTCTTGTAAATTTGCCCGTACCAATGTTTTTATCTGTATTAAGTGAAGTATGAAAATGGAATACTTCCGTCGACTACATCTCGTACCTCACGCACATTTTGACATCTTATAAAAATTATCACATATCTCATATAAATATCGACTACCTCGATATAGTTCATATTTATTTAGGTCCGATACGAAATGCACAATATTGGCCCATTCCTTCGGAACCTACTCCATAGAGGGTCTACAATAGTTCATATTTATTTAGGTCCGATACGAAATGGACAATATTGGCCCATTCCTTCGGAACCTACTGCATAGAGGGTCTACAATTTGAATAATCATAACAGAAGTTCAAATATCTTTAAATAATCGAACATTGGCTGAGAGTATACAGCTATCAGATAAACCGATTGATACTTTTTAACTTGTTGATTTTATTTGATTATTCAAATTGTTCACCCTCTATGGAGTAGGTTCCAAAGGAACGGGCCATTTTGGTCCATTTCGTATCGGATCCAAATAAATATGATATAAATATTCCGACGTCCCAAATTTGAACTTTATTGTTTACTTCCTTCACTTTATATGCGATAAGTGGTACCATTTCCATGCTTCGTATAATACAGATTGGTATGGGGAAATTACAAGAAAATCGAGCATTTATATACAATTTTCCAGGTTCATATATACCATAAATTCCAGGTTCATCTCAGGTTGCTGGTTGAGAGAAATATTTAGATATAGCAAGTTGTAAAGAACCGCTTGACTTGTTTCGCAAGTTATGACAAATAAAAATATTGAAAATTGTGACGCTTTATGGATCTTGTGTTTGCAAAATGTTTGTATGTGTGAAATTTGAAGAGAGTTGGATGCTTATTTCTCTTTCTTTGAGCGTTTTGTTTTTTTTTTTTTTTTTTGGAGGGGGGAGTGTTACCAGAAGGAGTGTTCCGATCTCCACTATCTTTATAACTGATCTTGTGTTTATGGAAATATTGAGATGTGTCAAGTCTGAACCGGACCTTGGGTTAATAAAAATATTGTGATGTGTGTAATTTGAATAGAACCGGATGCTTATTTCGAATATTATGATCGTTTTGGTTCTCTTGTGTTTATTGAAATATTGAGTGGTGCCAAGTCTGAATGGAATCGGATATTCAGCATTTTGACCTTTTGTGGAGCAGCTATCAAAAGGAGTGGACCGATATATTCCATCTTCACATCAGACCTTGGGTTAATAAAAAAATTGTGAGTTATTTGATTTAAAGAGAATCAGGCACTTACAACACATTTTATAAGAGTTATAATTATTCCAAATGTTGACCCTTTGTGTGGGAGGTACTTGATGGAGTGGACCGATATTTTCCATTTTCGCACCTGACCTAGCATATACTCCATCTTCACACCAGACCTTGGGTTAATAAAAATATTGTGATGTGTTTGATTTGAAGAGAATCAGGCACTTACAACACATTTTATAAGAGTTATAATTATTCCAAATTTCGACCCTTTGTGTGGGAGGTACTTGATGGAGTGGACAGACCTTGTCCATTTTCCCACCTGATCTAGCACTGATGCAAATATTCGGATTTGCAAAGTTGGAGTAACATCGGATTATATTTTCTCTCTCTGTGCAGTAATTTTTTTTTTTGGAAAATTTCAACCTTTTTTGGGGAGGTACCAGAAGGAGTGGACCGACGTTGCCCATCTCTGAACTCGATCTAAGTTTGATAATAATACTAAGATGTATCTAGTTTGGACCAAATCGGATACTCTCTTCAAAATTTATCGTGCGCATCAGGCAGAATGTCCTGAAACGGATTTGTTTCAAAGAGACATAGGGTCTAAAATCGTTATTTCGCCTAGGTTCTCTAGCTAGGAATTGGGTTTTTCCATTTATTACTTTTTGCAACATTAAAGTACCAATACCCATGAAACCTACTTATTTCCGTCGCCTGCGTGGAAGTTGACTAAAAATTTCAAAATGCTACAACTTTTAGTACTTTTGTACTCTTAAAGTACAAATTTCCAGAAATTCTGTCTCTCTTGCCCCTCCACACCAAGAATTGGTCAGTTAATCTCTTTACTCCTTTATTGATGCAGTTAGATGTTATTAATGAATATCAGCTAATGAAATACTCTAAATAAATCAAAGATTACAGGTCTTGTGGTCCTTATTTTTAGCCAAATTATTCCTGTCTTTTAATTAATGTTTAGTTCTTCAAAAAGTATTTCAACTATAGACCTTATGTGCTCTCAAAAATTGTGCTAAGTGACCACCATTTAAAAATTTCGACCAAGGGTCGTTGTAAATACATTTTCTTGTATTCTAATAATGTGTTCACATCAGAGCTTGATGTCGGGTAAACCTCCTTTACGAGGACTTACTAGACGTATATGTTTTTTCAAATTGTTTACTAAACCAATTAGTATTGCCTCCACTGTTTGCCACTAGCGCATATTGACATATAATTACTTTACAATTTAACGCCTTAAGGTAGGCAACACTTTTCACATGTGTGAAACAAAACGGATGTGAAATACCCAACGGAACTGTTCCATTGACACATTTAAGAGTAACAACGCCGCTCTCTTTTCCATGTCCCATTGTACCGTTATCAATAACAGTTACATTAACAGTGGCACACCGTGTGTGTTTTAGAGAGACAGAGCGAGAGAACGCTGCTTGCTACCAAAATGTAAGGCATATACAGCAAAAATCGATTGCTGTGTGTGCTGGCTAGTGTAGATGAAAAATACAAGTAGACCGAACCGAACGACCGAAGATGACCCACTTTTGGGGTTTTTTCGCATTCAACTAAAAGAATTTTTTTCTAATTGGAAAAAAGGAAAAACACACATAGAAGCAAATGTGACCAATTGAGAAAAAGTGAAAATTATTGTGTAAAATAATTCATTTGTATATTTAGTGAAGTCGTAGATGAAACAAAAAGAAAGTTTACAAGTTTAGAAAAAAAGTGATATACAAGTGTGAAAAAAGTAGAAACGAGAAAAAACCGTAAAATATTTAAAGGAAATTTAGTCTACACACAGAAGATTTGAAGAAGAAAAAGTGCAAAATTCACAAAAAGCTCCATAAATGAGTGGTGTCTAGTTAGTTAATAGTTTTTTTTTCTTCGTTCCTCGTCACAATTGAGGTTTATGGCCCCACCATAACGGGAATATTGGCACACTTGCTTGGATGGATTTTTTTTCGTACGTTCGTTCGTTCGTTTGTCGGTTGGTTGGGTTCCCAATAAAATACGCGTGTGTGTATATGCCACAGTAGCTGCTGGTAAATGATTCAAGTATGGAACGGAAACGAGGCGGAGCAGCAGAACATTTATTGTAGTACGGATTTTGAAGGCGCTTGGTATACTGATTTTCGTTGGGAGACAGCAGAATGAACGAATTCCAGTGATTACAAAAAAAGGAATGGTGTGTGAAAATCTGCAAATTCCAGAATGAAATCTTAAGAAAAGCTCCAAGCAGAACTCAAAAGTTTGCTAAACAATTTATAAGTGTCCAGTGAATGTGAAATAAAATTCCACAGTCTCCACTCTCTTTCTTTGCGGATGTGTATATTGTTCTGTAGATAAATTAATAAAACAAAAGAAGCAGCAACAACAAAAATATATCCAAACAAATTTTAAGCAAACCTCCAATATCCAGTAGTTAGTAGTCCAAAACAAAGCTAAGAAATACAAAAAATAATTGCATTTATAGTATTAAATGTAACCTATAAAAAAGAATACAACAAAAAGAAGAGGAAGCAGCAGCATATTCATTAAAATTTAAATAAAAATATCTAGTGTAAAGCAAAATAATTAAGTTCGACAAAATCTCGCCTGTGTGTCTCAAGAGAAAGGAGTAATTTGTCAAAAATTTAAAAATGTCGTAAAACATAAGCTGAAAAAAATCATTTAGTTGTTTTTTGAAAAGCATATCGATAAAAGTGTAAAAACTAAGAAGAAGAAGAAGCAAAGCAGAGTAGAACCAATTCCTTCTCTAACAGGAAAAAAGTATTACACCAACATTTCCACACAATCTCTTCTCCAAACGAAACCAAAAAATAAAAGAAAAGGAACACCAATACACACACTCTCACAAATGCACCATTCCGTCTCCCACTTTCTCTCACACACACATTCACAGACACCAGCGAGAAAATCATTCTCTTTCCCATACACACCGAAACTTGGAAAAATATATGCAAACTCTTTGCCACACATGGTCTTGCTCATCACCATCCATTGACAGCAGCAGCAACGAGAAGAGAGTCAACAAGAACAACAACATGTCAACATGCTCGATTGTCGTCTGTCGTTTGTATTGGACACGCATACTCGTCTAGTGTTACGACGACGGCTGCTACTGTTATTGAAAACAACCTAAGACAGTGTTGCATTTCTTCGTGTGCTCACTTGTCCGTTCGTTCGCTCGTGTAGTCGTGTGCTTGCCTGTGTTTTTGCGTTCACAAATGTCGTTGACATTTTTTTGTCATTATTCAACACCACCGCGCATAACTAAACTACTGTCATCCAACGTCAAATGAACAAAAAAACAACACGAATTGTCAACAGTTCGAAAAAATAGAAAACAATAATAACAACCCCACAAGTTAAGCAAACCAAAACAACAACAATAAGAAAACAACAAAAGGAAGAAACATCACCAACAAACACGCAGCACGCTCTCTCCGACAATCGAGGGAACTGTAAGTAATAATTAAAATAAGGATATGTTTGCTGTGTGATTTCTAATTGTTTTAAAATCTATTATGCTCCATTTACGCACTGTTGTTCTCTTTTGTGAGAAATATCTTAGAGAGAGTGTATTTTATGTAGAAAAAAGAGAGAAAGAAAACTCTTTGTGACAATGAAATATTGAGGACTTTTCGTCAGTATTACCACTTTTTGTTATTACGAGTGGAATCTTCATCCCCGAGAAATATCCTTAGGAATTATATTATTTGTAAAGTCATATTTGTTGCATTCCGGTTATGGCAGAGTCGGTCGCCATAATTTTTCTGCTATTGGAAGGAAAGTAACTACAATAATAGCTGCATTACTGTTACAGAAAGAAACTTTTGTTATAGTACTTTTGTAGTATAAAGGATTTAATTAAATCCACTAGTTAAATTTTCAATTCCAATTTATAAGCGTCAAATAAATCCACATAAACGGCATTAATCCGGCACCTCTAATGTAAATATATTGTAATATAGATATTGACTCATGGTAGAAAAATACAGGTAGATGCATCAACGCTTAAGAACATTGATATGACAAAAATTTTAAGATGGTTTTTTTTTTCAAAAATAAGTAGATTTTTATATTGTTATGATATGAATTTTCATGTTTGGATATCGTTATTGGTTTGACAGTTCATTGTCCCAGCAGTCGCGACGATGCGATTACCTGTATTTTTCTAGCATGTATTGACTTTATGCATGGGCAAATTAAATATCGACAACGGAAAGTTAGTTTTTTTTAAACAAGTGGCACTCTACACGCTTTTACATAGTCTGATTTACGCAGAGGACCTACTCGACTTCGAAAACACTTTTCAATATTTTTCAAGAATTTCACTTGATTATTCCCGCATTTTTTGATGTCATCACGTAATTTACACCTATCTTTTATTATGGAACAATTTTCCAAATCAAATAATTTTTCATAGAAATGGTGACTTCAATATTCTCACTCATACCCTTGAAACGACATCTGCTGAACCGATTTTTCGAAGATAAACGGTGAGAGTCTATAATTAATTTGTCTACGCTTTATGATCATAAGGGTTCATATATAATTAAGCCTTTTTAACTGGTTTATGTCATCGACTGGCTTTTACTGCAATAATTTCCTCACATCATGTTCAAATATACCAAAACGTTATCGAACAGTATTTAGTAAAATCCAGCAGAAAACAGCTGTTGCCAAAATGAATGCGTTGAACTTTTAAATTGATGGCAATATCGAATCAAACCAATTAGTTATTAACAATACAATGTCGAGTGCTTATTATTTAAAAAAAGAAATAATTTAAATGTTTAAAAAAATAATTGATTTTGAACCACCTGATGATACTGGATAATTCTTAGCATGGTAGAAGAATACAGGTAGTCGTATCGACACAGCTGCTGGGACAATGAACTGTCAAACTGATTTTGGAATTGAAAATATTGAATGAAAAATTATTAATTTCTAAAAATCGTTGAAAACAATTCATATTATAACAACCTCCGATTTGCGTCCTATAAAAAAACATTTAAAAATCTACTTATTTTTGATAATACATTCAAAAATTTTTGACATATCATTGTTCCCAAGCGTTGATGCATCTACCTATGTTCTTCTACCATGATTCCTAATGAGAAAATTTTCTCAGTAAGAATTCGCAGTCTCAGTAACGAAACTGTTATAAGGGCACTTCTGAATACTCCGAAGTGCAGCAAATATAATTAAAAAATATATATTTATAAAAAATTGGAAATTTCGGTTAGTTGCTGAGTTTGCACTCTAACATATAAATCATTTAAAAGTTAACTGCATGGCATTTTATAAAAATTTCCTCATTTAAAGGATATTCTCAAAAATGGAAGGTAATTTGGTTGAAAAAAACTTAAAAGCAGGTGGGAATCCCGCTCTTCCTATGTGTTTAAATTCGATTTTGATTTTTATTTACCTATCTAAATTGTTCATATAGGTCAACTTTATGATATAGATAAGAAAAATCTATTCTTATGGACAATTAGCATTTCTCCGATACGCTCAGCCATCGATCTCGTAGTCGAGGTAATTTAATTTTAAGAAAATTGTAAATTCAGAACTCTTAAGGGAGAATGTTCGGCCGTCACAATTTTTGAACGACATTCTAAAACATTAGTGAAAAAAGAGAAATTTAATCTATCCCAATCCAAATGACATTCATGTATATTTTAAGCTCAGAATGGTTAGTCTTTTTCCAGAGTCTCCTAGTTATTCTGTGCACGGAATCACAGTAACTCCTTATTATTTGTATGAATTAGATATTCTTTATTCTACATTCACAATCAAATCTAACTTTGATTTTTCAGGAGACGTGTCAAGTTTATTGACCTATCGAAATGAAATTTTGCTCAAATCTTTTGTTTGGCCCAAGGACTAAGAGCTCTATGGAAATTTATGATAATTGGCAGAAATGTAAATATCTCTTCTTAAGATTTACTTTTTATTGTGCAAATAGGATGAACTTTGCCACATTCGGCCAAATTGAACCTAGAAAGAAGAATGTCGAATTTGGTGGAAATAGCTTTCATATATATTGTTCATTCGAATTGTTTTTTTTGCCCACCACAGATGTAATATGCAGTCCGTAACAACGATGTTTAGGGAAATATATCAAATACAGCTCATAAATGCCATTGTCAAATTTTATCGAGATCGCTCTAGATTTGGATATGGCTCCCACATATATCTTTACTCGATTTCAAGTTCACTGTGAACCAAATGGTACATATATAAGCCCGAATTGAATGGATTTTGACACATACCAACGAACTCTGCCTGGACGTGTACACAAGTTGGTTGAAAATCGCCATATATATGTTACATCCGATTTTGTATTAAAGTACCTCACACCTGAATAACAATATTTAGTTCCTGCTATCAGATACAGGAGACAAATACCTCTGCTAAATTTTAGCGATCGGTTCAGATTTGGATATAGCTCCCATATATGTTCTTCATCCGATTTTACGTATATTGTGCCTAAAAGGTGTAATATCAGCTCAAATAAGATAGATTTGGATGAATATCGGTTCAGCCCGTCAAATTTAGTAAAAAATCGATGAAGAGGAGGATATACTTCCATACATTAGTTCCTTCGACTTAAAATTATATCTGTTTTAAAGCCATAATACCCATTCAAAAACGATCATAAATTTGTTTCTATTGTTTTTTATTACAGCCTGTTTTTTTTTAAAAACGTTGCTTTCCTCCGAATCCTTCGTATTCAAATGTATTCGTTTGGGTTTTCATAAAAGCTTTAAAAACTCTTTGATATGTGAGGGTTTCCATAACCATTATTTTGTTAATATTTTTTATGAAATTTCATTAGGAGTTGTGCTGATTATGGCAACCCCAATAAATTCAAAATTTATCACAAAATTGTAAATTAAAATTGAAAAATCTCAAAAAACATTTAAAGAATATGGTCCTGCAAGATCGGCTAACAAACAGTTGATATGTAAAAATAGTTCATAAATAGATTCCATGTCATACACATACAATTTTGGCGAAATTCTGTAACAAACAGCCAATTTCTGTTCAAAACTATGGGCCTCATTCTTTGGTTTTTTCTGACATTTTCGTTTGTATTTTTTTGTTACAAAAACCCAAAATTCAGGGGGAAAAACTTTATTGTGTTTTCCACTCAAAGAAAAACCCCCAAAATAATTAAATACTATATTTTATAGAAATCTAATAATTTATTTGATCAAAATTGTCGGGCTTAAGACCTGATTTAGAAAAGTCAACTTTACTTTTTTCGTTCTCTTTTCTACTTGTCTCTTGCTTATATATAAGGCAATTCAACAATTTTCTTTTTCATCATTGCCTTTTCTGTCATTTGTAATTATACTTTTGTATAAAAATAAAAACACAAATATTTTGCCAAAAAGTTTGCCAGTACGATTTTCCCCATTTCCATTGCCTCTACCTTTCCTTCCTACAAAGAAATGCCGCCAGAAAACTTACCTAATATAAATTCGCACCAATTTTCTCAGCAGACCCCGGACCGATTTTAATTAAATGAAAATTAGAGGAATTCTGTAGCTTGTTCAACAAAGTATTGACGCTTTTTCAAAAGTTACAAAATTTTAATAAAAAAAGGAAAAAACTCAGAACCCTAATATTAAAATTTCAGCATATAGTATTGACATCAAAACATTTATTATTTTAATTTATTCGTATTACAAAAAGTAAAAAAAAAACGAACTGCAAGCAAAGACAAGGCCGAGAAATCAGTTTCGAAGAAATTGAAAGCGGCGAGTTGGGTATGAATTTTCAGATTATCGTCAAATCAAATGCATCAAAACATTTATTATTTTAATTTATTCGTATTACAAAAAATTAGAAAAAACCCCGAACTGCAAGCAAAGACAAGGCCGAGAAATCAGTTTCGAAAAAATTGAAAGCGGCGAGGTGGGTATGAATTTTCAGATTATCGTCAAATCAAATGCAAAGCCTTTCGTTAACATTTATAGTAATTCAAATCCTGTAGCGATTTATGTGTGACGTAGATCCAGTTCATACCGTCAAACGATAGGACTTCGTTTATATACATGTTTTCACATCCTGACGTTCTAAAATGTCACCATCCGTTTTGGCAATTCGAGATAATACCGAACATTGGGACGAAAGTCTCAAAATCTGATATTATACCTATTGTTTGGATGCAAATATTTTAGCAATTGCGAATCCTTTATGCCCCATTGCATTAAGTTTGATTGAACTGTGCGGCCAAGGCCGTCAAAAATTCACACATCAGGCGGGACTGTATATGAGATACGAAACATAACAATGACCTATACTATCAGCAAGAATCCAAAATAGTATTTTCACCGTTATATGAAATTTGTTTCCAAATCCATAAGACATTTGCAAGTATGTAAGTATGTTTCTTAATACCCAAAATTGCGGCCGATTAGATTGTATTATTTGATTTCAACAGAAA